TTGTCGCCAGTCCCTCCAAGTGCATCCAAGTTTAAGGGTTTTGCTTCCTCCATCAGGGCTTTTCCTCTGATCCTTACATTTCAATAGGTTCCTTAGTGATGGCATAGGACAAATGAAATTGAAGCCATTTTTCCTCTTCTGTCTTAGTCATTCAACTGAGAGGTTTTCAGAAGGGCAATTTAAATTTTAATTAAAACTCAGGGCTCACAAGAAGTCTTGCAGATGGGATTCTCCTGAACATAAGTACAACCCACAGCATAGCCTAGGATGCTGTCTTGTACTGGTCAAATAATCCTATGCCAACATCTTCTAGTTAATAAAATGCTTTAAGCAAAATATTCAATATAAAACATCATACCCACACTAATTATTCAAAAAGATTCAAATTTAAATTAACCGAGCTTACAATTACTCAGTACCCTTTTATGCAATATTTGTTATGAAAGAGAACAAAGAAAAAAATACAGAATTTTTACCTCTAAGAAGCTTCTTGATTTACATTTCCACAAAATAAAATTATTTTGCCTTTCAAATAGGGGTTTCCAAAGATGGAAGGATAACATGTTTCAGGAATCTTTCAGATAATATGCTGTTACAGCCTAGCAGCATTTTGGTAAGCAAAGGTGGTTCACAAAACTTCCTTGGAAATAATGGCATTGTTATTTGTTTCACTAAATACATACATACATTAATTAATTAACTTATTTATCTGGTACAGGGCCTCGCTAAGCAGCTTGGACTCCTAGTGATCCTCCAGCCTCAGCCTCCTCAGCGCTGGCTAACAGGCGTGCGCCACCACGCATGGTTTTGGTCGCTAGCATGGCACTCTCGGAACCAGCACGGATTGTAGTCTAGGGGTCAAACTCGAGTCCTTGTGCTTGCCAAACAGGCACTTAGACTGCTGAACTATCTCCCCAGCCCCACACATATATTAATTTAAAAATGAAGGAAGGATGGAGAAGAAGAAACCGAGCCAGTTGCAAACAAGTCATGATTACTAGGGCCACCTGCAAAGAGATTTCCCAGGTACTGTGCTGCTAGTGGGGCATTTCCAGAAGGACAGCTCCTGGAGAAAACAGGCAGAGGATGGGGTGCACACTCCCTGCAGCTTCTGCACATCCCTGACATTGCTGCTCTTCAGTAAGTGCTGACAGTAACTCACTGTGCCACTCAAACAGCCATCGAAATGCTTTCAGTACAGAATTCCACCATTTAAAGTATATTGTCCCTGTACTGTAACGTCATGTAACTCAGTAGTGTCCCAAATTTTCTGATAAAGGAGATTATGGGGCCAAAGAGGAAAGTGATCGATGATGTAGAGTGTGCCTAAGGAGAGTCACATGGAGGGAAAACATTCTCTCAGACTTTCACAGAGAGCACATTGGCCAAGCAATGGCCGTGACTCATCCACATGGCTGACACTGTCAAAGGATCTGCAATCTGAGGTACAGGGTCTCAGGATAAGTCCAGAGGGGATTTGATTGATCTTATCAGATCCAAAAGCTACAAGTCTTGTTACATAGGTCTTGCTTTATCTTGTTCTTAACCACCCAGCAGAAAAGTATAAAAACAAAGTATAAGAAATAAAGCCATGTTGTTATGTTGAGCTGTAGGGGATTCAGGTCAACAATTTCTGACATTGCCTGTGAAGTGGAAGACCCAATATTATTATGGACTGCTGGACTATTTTGGAATATTTTGCTGAGTTCATACACCTATAATATTTAAATGATGGAACTAAACAAAAGAGTCCCACAACACTCCTTTTCCTGTGCTGCTTGTCATGATACACCAGTTGCTGCCATGCTGTCTCTCAGGTAGATGATTGTTTAAAAAGGATATAGATGAATCGCCATTTTGTACCTGTGTATTCAAAATGGTTAGGCTAGATATATAGCTACATTCTCTTAATTCAAAGAATAGAGGCATTTGTTCTAATAGTGTTTGTAAATAGGATATCCTGTCTGCATCTTGTACAACAAATAACCACTAGGAAGGCAGTATGCAATGGGTTAATTATAGGCACTGTCACACCAATTAGATATGAAACTGTCTCATTGTTATTTATTTCTCAATAAAATTATGAAAAAAAATAAAATAAGTAGAAGAGTTAACTGGCACATGCAATAGAAATAGAAAGGATTATTTTTTACAGAGGACTGGGCCACCAAAAAAGGATTTTAAAGTCACAGCCAGCCACAGATTCAGGCTTTGCTGAACGTACCCAAACATGCAGCCTCTGAGCCATCGATTCTTATCAACCATCTGGACTACATCCTGTGGATTTTGGCTGCCACATCTAATGGCTCTTGGCTCCAGATCAGTGATTTTACTCCATGTGGTCTATGAATTTCAGACAGTAGGACATAGAATTATTACCTTGCGTATGTAAGAATACTCTTCCCTCCAATCCATTTAAACTTGACTTTCAAGGGCAGCTGAAGGCCAGAGAATCTAGAGTCTCTTCTCTTATTCCTGTAGGTCATAGACTATATCACTCAGCTTGACATAAGATGGCAAACTTCTGACAGACAATTACAGTGGCAGCAGCTTTGTATATCAGCCTTGAATTTGAAGTTTGTAAGTTCTTTGAGGACAACATCCAGCTATTGCATATGCTTTGTACTTAGGTCAGAAAGCGTGCAGTCAAAAAAATCAGTAGGTTTGATCAAGCAGCACTTAATAAAGTTAATGATCACAACTATGTGAATAGTGTCCCATAAAAGCAAAATGATTAGAAGGATGCAGAGCTGAGAAAATTCTGTGGAGATGCATCATATAGTTTTTTTGTCATTTTTATTTTTTGAACTTTATTTTCTCATTAAGTGATGAAATGTGCACTTGCTTTTTACGTCCATCTTATCCAATGGTGAAATTTAATATATCCATAAAATGTTATTGCATGTTTATTTTAAATAAATGTAAAGCCAATGTGTAGTGGAGTTTTATGTAAGAGTCCTCATCCAGGATTTGGAATGTTAAGTGTTATAAAATACAGCTATATAGAAAAAAGTTCTACTGGGCTGAAATCTTGTGGTTCTGGGTATATTTTATTATTTTTAGTGCTATTGTTTTTTACTGTTCCTTATTAGAATTCT